CTAATTCTACCGAACTTGCCAAACAAGTTCAATCCGCTCGCAAGAATTCTATGATTCTTACAAACTGGGGGCTAACTGTTAGGGTCAAACTCGGTCACGCCATAATCAATGACCAAAACTCTCTGCAAATTTCGAAATAAATTTATAAAGATTTGAAAAAGGGTCGAGGAGAATTCCAAAGATTTTCCGAACAAAGGAACTCCGTAAACTTATTAATCGTCATCATGGAGATCATCATAAAATCGAATAAAACAACCCACAGTTGTCCGAATAGCCAACTTAGCAAGATCGGCCGTAACATCCAACCCGCCAAAACGGCAAGACTGTCTGAGACCATCCAGCTCGCCAAGCCGGCGAGTTGGCCGTCACGAACAAGCTCGCCGTCTTGGCAGGCTGAACTATCCCGTCCAGCTCGCCGTCTTGGCAAGCTGGACCATGCCATCGAGCTCTCCAAGCCAGCGAGCTGGCCATCCCGAACCAGCTCGCCGTCTTGGCGAACTAAACTGTCCCGTCCAGCTCGCCTAGCCGGCGAGCTGGCCATCCCAAACCAGCTAAACGTCTTGGCGGGCTGAACCGTCCCGTCCAGCTCGCCGTCTTGGCGAGCTGAACTGTCCCGTCCAGCATGCCAAGCCGGCAAGCTGTCCGTCCCAAACTAGCTCGCCAAGCCGGCGAGCTGAACTGTGCCATCCAGCTCTCCAAGCCGACGAGCTGACCGTCCCAAACTAGCTCGCCGTTTTGGTGAGCTGGACCACACCGTCCAAGTCGCCCGACCGGCAAGCTGACCAAGCCAAACCTTACCATCCACATTTCCCGGACACAAGGCATAAGTCCCTCGACTCGATCGTACTCTGAACCGTGATCGAAACATCTCTTGTTTCGTCTCGATCCTTCTTATCGTTGGAATTTTTACGATAAAAATCGCTAAAGAATTGTTTTCTCGTAAAAACTCGAGTAAATCGTATAAAACGGCAAGGGTTAAACAAAACACCGGACATTACCAAACTATAAGATTGACTCGAGATGTTTTATAAAATCGGCAACGTATCATTGAACGACCCCGTCTAAAATCGTGAAACGTTTAAGGCGCAAAACGTCCTATAACGCGACAAAGGCCCAATTGCGACTTTAGAAGGAGTCCAACCCAAAGATACGATGACGGTTTGCCCGTTTATGTGCAAGAAGAAGATAAATGTCAAGCTCAGAGAAAAATAGAAGTTTTCCAAGGATAAAATTGGAGAATCGAGATAAATGGAAGATTTTCGGAAAACACTAATCAAGAGAGAAAAAGAAAGACTAAACCGCCTAGAAGAGGAGTATATAATCCAAAGGTCGAAGCCAAGAAGAGATGACGGTTTTCAGAGCTTTCATCACACAGAAAAACTTAGCACTTAAAGCAAATATGCAACTTTCCGTTTTTGTTATCGAGCCGCGTCTCAATTAGGATTTTAGTCTTAGGTTACTAGAACTAGGGAACTCGCCGTCAGCTCTTGTGGCCATGGCTTTACCTCGTTGTACCGCTCTTATGCTAATTCGGAATAAGACATATCTTTGCTTTTCTATTTCGATTTTCATATTGTCTTTCATGTTATTTTCGTATTTTGATTGTTTAGCGTGTGGTTTATAAAATATTCAGAACCTCTAGAAAATTAGGATTTTCTCTAAGTTCCTTAATTAAACAGAAATCGATTTCAGTTCCCACATGTCCATTTTCTTTAAATCTTTCTAAATTCTTCGTAACCAGATTCTTAAAATATATATATATATATCAACTACTATTAAAAGGGCGATATAAGCTGCAGTGGGGGTGTCCACGTCGACATTTATATTCCAACCAATAGGAGAGCACGCTTTCTCCACGTCACCGCGCTACCTTTCGTCATCTGGACTTCAGTTATCTTCAGGCCCGGCAGCTTCCAAATTCGGTGAGCCCGTCAAGCCCATCTTAGGCCGCGTCGTTGTTTTCCTTGCGCGAAGTCTAAGCCTTAATTTCACAGAAACTTATCTCAGATTCTTTCTCTTCTTCCTCTTTGTTTCTCCGTTTCACGAATCTTCCATCAATAACAATGAATTCACTCCCCACTCCTTCATCCTCTTTAATCCGATTAATGGATTCTTTTCGCATCCCCCTTTGAGATCCTATATAAATCGCTTAGTCTGTGTTTTATTTTACATCAAAAGTTCTTCTCTTCACCAGATTGTATTTTACGTTATCCGGTGTTCCCCACTCAGTGAAAACAAAATGCGACTCCGATGTCTCTTCCACTCCTGTCAAAACCGCCGCTCAATCCGGTGTCTCCTCCCGCAATCTCAGCTTGAAGAAATCAAAAGGTGTAGAGGCGGACTCCCCCAGTCCGATCAAACCAATAGGTAAAACCGGTGCCGTTTTGATCTTTCAAAACAAGCTTTTAGCGACGGGTAACAGTAAAGAGTAAATCTAGAGCGTTTTGGATCAGAAAGGGCAGTGGTATCGTCGAGGTTATGGATCAACTCTTTCCTCTTCCTTACTTGACTCTTCAGGTTTAACATTTCTTCTTTTGTGTGTGTTTTGATTGAAAGTTCGAATCTTGGAATCTGCCATGTTTTAAATTTGGTGTATAAGACCAGAACATGAATGAGTTAAAACCGTAATCTTATATATTAGATTGGTCCAGGTATCTAAGTATTTGATTTTTTATGTCAGTGTCCTGAGTTTGTTTACTGTTATATTCCCTCTAAAGTTAGAATCTTGAATCTGCCATGTTTCTTAGTATTTCAATATTGGATTGATTTGTTGTATAAGAACAAGACATCAATGACTTAAAACCATAATATTATAGGTTGGTTGGTTTTGGTTTTTATGTCAATGTCCTGAATTTTTTTTCTGTTATTTTTTTTAAAGTTCGAATCTGAGTTCGCATCTCCTAAGACGTTCATGTCTGAAATCTTGGGTTATGTTTCTGATGAAGATGATTCTCCTCAAATGTCATTCCTTTGATTTATCTGCTAGATAGACAAATAAAGATGGAAACTTTATAGGTTTTGTATCATGTTTGTTCTTGTGGTTGTTTCAGAGAAGAGAGACAGAGTTGGATGGAGGAAGAAGCAATGGCAGCTAGGTATTGGTGTCATATGTGTTCACAAGTGGTGAATCCAATCATTGACGCCGAGTCAAATGTCCCTATTGCCAAAGCGGGTTCCTTGAGGAAATGAGCGGTGAGATTAATGGCGGCAGCAGTGGTCTAAGGAAGGTTCAAGAACAAGAGATGAACTTTGGTACAGACCGTGGGTCTCTCAGTGGGGACCAATCATGGTTGGGATGATGAGCAATCCCAGGAGACTTAGAAAGTTTAGTTGGACAGAGTTTGGTGTTGATAATGATGATGGAAACGACATCAACAATGTCGATAACCATCGTTTGTTTCTTTCTTTGTGTTATATCACCGAGACCACGGTTTATCCTTGGAGAGTAAAGCATTATATAGGACCATGGTAGTTGCGTTGCCGCCGGTGAGATAAGGAGAATTTGCCAAGAATGTTGATTCGATGCCAGGAGCATTTGATAACGGCGACGACTGTGGCTTACGAGTAAGAGAGATGTGGTTAAGATTCCAATCACGGCGACGACTGTGATCGGAAAGTTCGTCCCCGTCGAGTCAGCATGATGGAAACACAGGCACTGGTGGTGGTGGTGCTGGCGGCGTTGGAAACTTCAGATCCCGGAGGATACTACGACGAAGTGATACATCCATTAACTATAAGAACAAGCTCATTCTCTAATGGAGAAGGAAAATATAAACTCTGAAGAACTTGAGAGTTTATTCAAAAGGGTTTGGGAAGAAAGGATTAATAGCTGGAGGATGAGAGATAGAGGTGAAGGTGAAAATGGAGGAGAGGGAGACAAAAGAAGAAGCAGAGATGGAGTTCCCTGAAGTTTCTGTCTCTTTATATTTATTTTAATCTTTTTCAATATCGGTGAGATATGTTTCTCTTTTCTTTAATGATTTATCAGAGTATTTAATATGATCGGTGGAAAAATTGAAAATTTGTTTGTTTATGTACATTACAAGTGGTGGGGAACTTTTTATTTACGGGGAAAACCTGGCATATATTCACACTAATTCCAATTTATATACATTGTTTACATTATTTTTAAAAAAACTGTACTCATTGATTATGAAGAAAGAAATGGAAGGTAAAAGCATAATGAAAGTTTTGAAAATAATATATTTATTTTTTAAAAAAATTCATAAAATGAATCACCACCGGAAGTTACTCCAAGAAAGTAACTAAAATAACATCAAAATTATATATAGTATTAAATTATTAAAGAGTGAATATATGAAATATACAAGATCAACATACAACTTAGTTGCAAATAATATTTTCATATATATGACTCAAGAATGACTTAAAATATATATCAAAAAAATATATTTTATATTTATGATAAATATTTTTAGTCACACTAATATTTTCATGGTACTTTTTTATTTATGGCAAAATAGTAAAGAACATATATATCATATACATACTAAAACAATACCAGATCCTTTAAATAATAACAAAGAAAAGGTAGAATCTAGGTACAAAAATTAGAAATAACAATTCTTTGCAATTAAAGAATAGGAAAATAAAATTGTAAAAATATGAAATAAAACAAAAAATATACACAGAGAGAAAGATTTAGTAAAGTAAAATCATAATACAATTTCCATAATCGATAGTGCTCAGTTACACTACAAGGTCTAAATTTACAACACATATAGTTTTATTTACATCTTTAAACCTATTACCTAACTAAAAACATTCTAAAATAAATGACAGCATGAGAATTAGAAAATCTAAATAAAAAATATACAATAAAATATACTATATAATGTTAAAAGTATATTATCACTGATCAATAAAAAATCATGTTCGTAGTAATAAAAATGAAATGACAACACATTTATTAAAACCATAGAACGGCACGCAACAATGTGCTATTAAATATACAAACTACAAATCAAATATGTCAACGCAAACACACATAAAAATGAAACAACAAATTTGGATATATTTAAATAAATAATTTTAAATATATTATATTTTGATCATTTTAAAATCACTTAAAAATAAATTATTAACAAATTAATATACAAATAAAAATAAAGAAATATTTTATAATTTCAAAATAATATATGACTACAAAATATATTATGTTAATAAAATAGATTTTAGATTTTAAAGACTTCTAATTCATGTAATATTACAAAATTCACAATTTGATCGATATTCAACTGTCATTTTTCAACTATTACACGTAAAAAAAATATTATTACATACGCTTTCTTGAAAAGGTGATTTTATATTTTAAGTAGGTTATTGTAGTACTTTTTCTTTTCGTGAATTTATTCGAGATGAGATCCCGATCTTTTAAACTAAGATCATTTATGTTCGATACATAATTACATTTTTTACATAACTCTAAAATCTCGAACTTGATTCTTCATATTTTAATAGTTAATTGTGTTACATATAATAGAAACATATTTGACAATAGTATAAATTTCATAGTCTATTTAAGATAATTACATAACTAAATTACCTATTAATGCCAATGAATTATATTCAAATACTTACTTCAAACTTAAAATAATCAAATTAAAAAATTTGTTAAATATAATTAAATATTCAAAAAATTACATACACATAAAAATGATAAATGTAACAAATTTAAATATGTTATCCGCGCGTAGCGCGGAGAAAGCATCTAGTATATATTAATTTCACAAGAATCAAACCGAACATGTCTCTATACAAAAAATTTTATTCGAAAAAAATACATTCGAGTTGCATCATATATGTATGCATCTTTATGTATGCATGTTAGTTTGCATAAGAATTTACCAGAAACAATTGCTAAAATATTCCATTTGAATAATTATTTTAGCATTTATTTCTTATTTACAGAAAATTACTATTTTAGAATTTCAGTATAATTTATACTTATTTCAGTTTAATATCAAACATTTTAAAATTAATTAATCTTATAAACAAATTTATTTATCTCAAATATTATCGGTTAGATAAAAGTAATTAATGAACACATAAATGAATTTCAATTACTTTTTTAAGATATGTAAAAATATTTAAATGACACTTTTTGAAAAAAAACAAATGATTTTTTTTTTTTAAAATGATATATAAAGCATCGAAATACAAATTATTACGTAAGGGAAATATGAGACATGTGCTAGAACAGACGAATTGTAAATTAAAATTCCTTATAAACTGAATTTATTTAGAAAAAGTAGAGAGTCTAATTTATTTTTTTCAACATACAAACCATTTTTTTTGTACAAAACATACAAACCATTTTTTAAGAGATAAAAATAGATACAGAACTGCAATAATAAAAATACACAAGAGAGATGTTATAAAAAAAAAAAAAATACACAAGAGATTATTGCCGGTTGGTACTTCTCGCTAGAGACTGAAGGTTGCACCTGACGATAGTATCCACGAAGGTAACAGTCTCCTCCTCCGTGTTTCCCTGCGGCACATCGACGAGATATGACTCCACCACGACGGTTGTTCTTCCGTCCTCCGACGCGTGGAGAGTTGTCACTGATCTGTAGTTCTCGAGCCGGTGGTCCCCATCCACCACGCTAAAGCTTATCACATAACGCTCCTCATCCAACATCTCGAGTCTCTCGGTGCTCGAGACCGCCGGGAGTCCCGACACGACCATGACTTCCCGAAGATCGCCAGCGTGGAGCCCGTCTCCTTGGACAATACGGCACTGCTTTACGAAGTTCTTGTAAACTTTAGGGTTATCAAAACGACGCACGAGGGCCCACACAGACTCTAATGGAGCGTGGATCATCTGCACCACCGAGGAGCAGCACTGACCCGGTCCAAGGTCATGTGTGTGGTGCATCGTCACGTGCTCCGGTACGTGCATACCGAGAATGGGGCAGACTTGTCTGATTAGAGCAACGGTTTGGTCGTGAGGCTGCAGCGTGTGGACCTCCGAGACGTCATGGAGCTGCACCGGTGATGTCATATTTTATCTCTCTCTTTTTCTCTATGTTGAATCTTTTATTTCTGATGATAAGTTATCAGTTGATGAGAAACGTTATCAAGTTAGTTCTGTTTGGAAGATTTAAGAAGGATGATCAACTTTAATTTTGATTATAAGTTATCGACATATTGTGTGTGTGCTTATATATGAATATTGAGAATATTTGTTGATAGATAGAGACAGCATGGGATGGGAATGATTTGTGTGTATATGTGACCCTACATTGTTCTATTTTGGTCCCATGATTTCTTACCATAGGAAGCCTCCTTTATTTTTACCAAATCTAAAAGATTCTACAGAATATTCCTCTTATTTACATACTTGGCAAATTTATATTCCAGAATCTACCAAGTTTGGATAGATTCATTTGACTCGTGTAAGAAGTTAACTTTAGAAAAATATAACATCAGCTACCACTTGAAACAAGTCACTAGTATTTTTATTGTCTATTCCTTGTATTCATATACTTGGCAAATTTATATTCCAGAATCTACCGAGTTTGGATAGATTTGACTTGTGTAAGAACTTAACTTTAGAAAAATATAATATCAGCTACCACTTAAAATCATCAGTATTTTTATGGTATGGTATCTGACTATCGTTTTAAAATATATTCTCTCTGTGAATTTTAATTAATACCAAACTCGAGCATTAATTAGAAGTTATAATATTTAACATTGTACCCCCAAAAATAAAAATAGAAGTTACATGGTTTCTGATAAAACTAATTAAATCAGAAATATTAAAACATTATACATTTTTGAAACACGTATTCTTAAAACATAATACATTTGAAACTAAAAAGGACTCACTATATACATGTTTTAGTTTATTACTATTGCAGTGCATATAAGTGAAACCATGTGTCACATACAATGATCTTACTTATATCATCTCCATCGCGGTCTTTTAAGGGATTTATAGCCCAACCTCTTATCTGATTTTGATTAGAGTAATAATATAATTTTGCTTTTTTAGAAGAGGTGTTTCTTAGTTAGGTTTTTTAGAGGTGAGTCCTCAATGACGTGACAAGGAGAAATCCATGTCGTTTTGCCTTACTCTCGTTTGGAAAAAAATATCAACACTTCACGCGAGAGAAAGAAAAAAACCTCCTAAGGCGACACTACAAGAAAACACGTCCTTTACTAGGACGGGTTTTCCTCGTTATTTCCTAGTAAAGGGCCCTTTACTAGGAAATAGCGAGGAAACGTGTTTCGTCGAAAGACGTTCATTGTAAAGGCTATTTTCCTCGTAAAGGCCTAGCTAATTTACGAGGAAAGATTTCCTCGTAAAGCCGTGGAAAACATTTCCTCGTAAGCTCCACGTAGACTTTCCTCGTAAGGGCGTAGTAAAGTATTTCCTCGTAAACTCGTAGTAGCCTCTTTACGACGAGTTTGCTAGGAAAGTTTACGAGGAATTTACCTCGAAACCT